TTTGCGGTACGTGGGCCTCTCACTGTTGTGGCCTCTCCCGCTGCAGAGCACAGGCTCTGGATGTGCAGGCTCAGCCGCCATGGCTCAGCGACCCAGCCGCTCCGTGGCATGTGGGATCTTCCCGGACCGGGGCATGAACCCATGTCCCCTGCATCAGCAGGCAGACTCTCAACCACTGCGCCAGCAGGGAAGCCCCTGGGTAAGCGCTTTTCTTTTTTAATATGAGGTTTTTTTAAAATTTTATTTATTTAATTTATTTATTTTTGGCTGCGTTGGATCTTCGTTGCTGCACACAGGCTTTCTCTAGTTGCGGCGAGCAGGGGCTACTCTTCATTGCTGTGTGAGGGCTTCTCATTGTGGTGGCTTCTCTTGTTGTGGAGCACAGGCTCTAGGTGAGTGGGCTTCAGTAGTTGTGATACGTGGGCTCGGTAGCTGTGGCTCACAGGCTCCAGAGCGCAGGCTCAGTAGTTGTAGCTCACGGGCTCTAGAGCGCAGGCTCAGTAGTTGTGGCGTGTGGGCTTAGTTGCTCCGTGGCGTGTGGGATCTTCCTGGACCAGGGCTCGAACCTGTGTCCCCTGCATTGGCAGGTGGATTCTTAACCACTGTGCCACCAGGGAAGCCCTAAGGTAAGCACTATTTTTAAACTCCACTTTCAGATAAGAAAACTGAGCTTCAGAGACATCTATGACCTGGCCCTGGTCTGTTGTCTAAAAGGCTTTGAAATCTTTGATTTGCCAGCACATCAAGAGCAGGTCCACATTTTAGAATAGGACTCATGTTAATTAAGATTACTACATCCAGGGACTGACTGAAAAAAATAGCTCTTCCGTGGTGACTCATGGCTTATGTTTTTAAACCTGAGCTTTACCTCCACAAAACCAATATATCAGCTCCTATATTTGTCCTCATGTAGTGCAATGGTTTGTCCTGTTAAATTTCGGTTTGAGACTCCCTATTATATGGTATTCACTGTATCAGATATACCATAGAGCTATGCAACACAAAACACAAAATTTCAAAGTAAAACCGCAAACAATATTGTCACTACTTCTCAATTAAAAGGACAGACTTCAATCAAGAAAATAAATACATTATTCATGGGTGATAAACAAAGCAATGTGATATTGGGTTAACAACAACTTTGACAGTCTTAACATACTTGCTTTTTAAAATCTGCAAGAAACAAATGTACCAGCTGAATGCAGTTGAACAAATTCATTATAGGATTAACAGTTTTCTGACCCACTTACTAAAAAAAGCTGAATCACTCAATTGAGACCCAGGGGAAATGCAGATTATACCTTTGCCATACTTGGTTTTTCTTCAATTAAATTACATTCTGTAACCAGTTTTTGAGTCCTTGCCATCTTCTTTTAATTGGGTGATTTCATTTGGCTTCTTGAATATAAGCCTTTGCAAATTCTTGATTTTTGTAAATGCAAATGTATAATAAAACATGCATCCAGCTTTTTTCTATGCAGTTATTTTCCAAACCCATCAGGGAGGCCTGCTTCTCTCCCTAATCCTTTCCTTTATTAGATTGGGGGTGGATGGGTGGAGTGAGCTGTCAGGAAGAGAAGTCCAATGCTCTTTGCTTACAGATGGGAACTGAGGAAGATGGGGTTAATGGTCACTCCACCTGTAGTCACCCTGGCTCAGTAAAAGAGAGGCGCTTCCATTCCCGCAGGCATGGAGCCACTGTGAGCTGTTTCCTATCGCCAGGCCTTGACTAATGCTTTTCCAACTACAGAGAATAACCTTTCTCCTCCTGTCAAGTATTCTAGCCCTTCTCTTCCATCCAGTGTAGCTTCCTTTAAGGAGGTTTCTTCCAGATGAGGAAACTCTTTTCACTTTCAAGCCCATTGGTATAATTCCTGACCAACATCTCATCAACAACTCACTCTTAGAATTGCTATGTTTATACTGATTATATGCTTGTCTTATTTCCCTGGACAGGCCAAATGTCCTCGGCCATAGCCAGATCAAAGGGCATGATTGTGTGATTCTCCCTCTTTTTTCTGGCTTTCTTGTTTCTGGCAATAGCACCATCATTCTGTTTCCCAGGTTAGAACCTCAGAGGCATCTCTGCATCCTTCTTTTTCCTCATTTCCACTCCCTAATCTCCAGTCAGTCTCCAAATCCTAGCAATTCTTTCTTTTCAGCCTCTCTGACATCTTTTCCCCATTTCCATCATTCCTTTCATCTAGACTCTTCCAGCAGCATCATAACTGGCCTCCCTGATTCCCAACTCCCACCGTGAGCTCATCCTTAACACCAGTGCCAGATGATTCTCCTCCCTGAACTACAGCTTTATTCAGATCACTTCACGATTTTAAAATCTCCAGTGGCCCCCCATTGTCTTCAGCTCAGCATTCAAAGCTGCATAGGTGTAGCTTTGGTGGAAAGACCACAGGTTTTATAAGCAATCTGATCTCTGTTCTAATACCAACTCTGCCCTTCACTAGTTGCAGGATTTGGGGCAAGACCCTGACCCTCTCAGAACCTGTTTCCACATCTATAAAATGGGGGTAATAATACCCAAGTGGAAAGATTATTGTAAGTTTTAAGCAAGACAATGTAAGCCAATCCTTTGGCCACCCATAGTTGGCACTCAATAAATGGCATCTTTCCTTCTTCTGGGAGCCAATGCCAACCTATCTTTACCTTTACAACTTTATTCTTCTTCCTTAGCTGTTCTCCAAACACAACTTCCTGCCCCGGGGTCTTTGGAGAAGCTGTTCTCTCTACTTGCCTTGCCTTCCATCTCTGCCCATATAATTCCCTATGTCCTTTAAGGGCCACAGTCATGAAGTGTTCCTTGATCAGTTTTGTCAAATATTGTCAGTGGCCAAGCGGGGAGGTAAGAGTGTGTTGCCGCTGACATTGTTTAGAATTGCCAGCTCATAGTGATAATAGAAAGCACACAGACTTTTAGTTTTATGCTACTGTATCTAATAATATCTCCCTTCTCTGAATTCCAAAAAATGCAAAGCATCATTTATAAGGTATTTAATATACTGTTTAATATAATTCAATACTGGTTATTATTACAGTTATTTCTATTCACGTTTTCTATCCATTATTAAACTGTAAACTTTTTGAGGGCAAGTATCATAACATATAAATCCTTGTTTCTCCTACATAACAGCTTCTATGCAATAAATGTTCTGGATAAATGAAGAGGTTAATATCAACCATACAGACCAAGTTAAAATGTAACACATCTGGCATTCTGAGATCAAGGTGGCTTTTTTGGGCTGCACTGAGCGGCTTGTGGGATCTTAGTTCCCCAGCCGGGGATCAAACCCGTGCCCTTGGCTGTGAAAGTGTGGAGTCCTAACCACTGGGCCGCCAGGGAATTCCCAAGGTGGCTTTTTTTAACGTCTTATTGTGTGAGAACTGACTCTGTGCTAGGCAATGTGCTAAGTGCTTTACATACATCATTCATTATAAAAATGTATCAAGTTCCTACTCTATCCTAAGCACTGTGCTAGGCCTTAAGAAGAAATTAGTGAACAAAATTGTTTACTTATACAATGCCTGGTGGTCAGAGAGGTTAACTAACTTACCCAGGGTTATTCAGCTAGTAACTGGGGGAGCCTCAGTTGGAAACTGGGTCTTACCCTAGCAACCATGTTCTTAACCACTATATTATATTTCCTCTGGTGTGAGCTATAGAGAAGCCATAGGAGACTGGTGATTGCCCAGTGTGACCACACTCTCTTACACAAGCAATGATGGAATCATTCTCGAGGATAGGGATTTCTATTTTCATAAATCCTAAAGGGCTTTTATAATGTTAATACCAAACCCATACCAACTTCTGATGGTTACTTAATAAATACTTACTGGACAACTGCCTTGATAACTTATATAATCCAGTGGACTTCTTCATGACTTGGGAATTTCAAAATTCACTGTAAAAAATTAATCCCCAATAAAAGCTTATTTCTCCCAGTGACTGTCAAGTATAAATTAAATTACCAATATTAACTGGTGCATTATTCCACCTGTCTTCCCAGAACACTTAACTTGCCTACATATACACCTCAGACACAAACAAAACTACATTCTGCAGAACAGGCAATTAAACCTTGACTCTTCAGATAATGATGTTTCCTCTTATCACAGAAAGGCACCAAGAAGCCCATCTAGGCTTTTTACTAAGAGCAAGAAGGGTAGTAGTAGCAGTGATAACACAAACTATGAAAAATAGATTAAAGGCATTTTGCCTATCCATCAGCAAAAGTTTTCAGTTGTCCTGGCAACTGGATGATATACCACTTCTACAATCAGTTTACTCTGAAAATGACAAAGAAAAATAAAGAGAAAGTGGGGGGGAGGGGAATTCACTTAAGAAACAGTGTTATTATGAGCAGTATCAATAGGTATAAATAACTTGCCAGCCAACAGATTAAATCAGAATGTGATGCAGGAAGAATAAGACATAACAAATATTTGGCAAATTCTTGAAATGAAATAAAACTAGGAAGTGTCTAGGGGCTTCCCTGGTGGCGCAGTGGTTGAGAGTCCGCCTGCCGATGCAGGGGACACGGGTTCGAGCCCCGGTCCGGGAAGATCCCACATGCCGCGGAGCGGCTGGGCCCGTGAGCCATGGCCGCTGAGCCTGCGCGTCCGGAGCCTGTGCTCCGCAACAGGAGAGGCCACAACAGTAAGACGCCCGCGTACCGCCAAAAAAAAAGAGAAAACTAGGAAGTGTCTAAAAATAGCTTCAGATGAAAGATATATGTACAAAACACATCAGTAGTGTGTTTAGGGCCAAGATCATTGAAAAGAAGTAGGAAAATGTAAGCACAGAAAATTGAATCACAAATCTTTCTATATTTGGGCATTGGAAGACCCGAAAATACCCAACTCTTGAGCATAAAGCAGTTGTTTTCTGGTGAGTTTGAGCAGTGGAGGCTGCCAAATCACTAGAAGAGAGAGGGAATGTAGGGAGCAATTTAGTCAATGTTGGGAGCGATTCAGCCCAAAACAGCCCAAAACAGAAGGGTTTTGTTGTTGTTGTTCTTTATTTGTTTGTTTGCCTAAGTGGTATGGCTCTATTGTGAGCTGGTTTCCAGATGCGAATTCTTAAGAGCAACCAAAGGCACCCTTGGGCTCACATCACAGCCTCTCTTGTGTATAACCCATTTATATATTTATATATTTCTCAGGCAACAAATCCCATGGTCAGATTGTTGTTTTAGATCAGGATTTCTCAACCTCGGTGCTACTGGCCTTTAGGGACAGATAATTCTTGTTGTTGGGGGTGGATGGTGCTGTCTTATGCATTGCAGAGTGTTTAGCAGCATCTCTGGCCTCTATCCACTAGATGCCAATAGCGACCCCCATCCCCAGTTGTGAAAACCAAAAATGTCTCCAGATACTGACCAATGTCCCCAGGGGGCAAAATCACCCCCAGTTGAGAACCACTGGTTTAGAGGATGCAGAGATGATCATCCAGCCCAACCCTGTACCATACGGATGAGGAAACCAAAGCCCAAACACACTGAATTCCTTTCTCAAATGTACACAGCTGGTTAAACGCAGATCTAATCCAGGAGCCTCGGGTCATCACTCTCGGTAACTGCACTATATGCCAGCTTTAGTCATTTGCATACCACCGTCATGATTTTGCTCTACCCAATGACACATTATTATTTATATTGAGTTGACTATTTTTTAACTTGATAAATTTATTTTAAAAGGAAATGGAGGGGCTTCCCTAGTGACACAGTGGTTGATAATACGCCTGCCCAATGCAGGGGACACGGGTTCGAGCCCTGGTCTGGGAAGATCCCACATGCCGCGGAGCAGCTAAGCCCATGCGCCACAACTACTGACCCCGTGCTCTGGAGCCTGCAAGCCACAACTACTGAGCCCGCATGCCTAGAGCCTGTGCTCCACAACAAGAGAAGCCAGCACAATGAGAAGCCCGCGCACTGCAGCAAAGAGTAGCCCCCGCTTGCCGCAACTAGAGAAAGCCTGCACACAGCAACGAAGACCCAACACAGCCAAAAATAAGTAAATAAAATAAATTTATTTTAAAAAAAAGGAAATGGGGAACTATATTCAATACCTTGTAATAGCCTATAGTGGAAAAGAACCTGAAAAAGAATACATATATAACTGAATCACTTTGCTGTACACCAGAAAACTAACACAACATTGTAAATCAACTATACTTCAATTAAAAAAAAAAACGGAAACAGGCACATAAAGGAAAAGAAGTCAGACATAAAAGATATGAAAGATCACGGTGTCAGAGGGAGAAACCTGTGCTTTTTTTTTTTTTTTTTTAAGTCCTCGCAGCTTGTAGGATCTTAGTTCCCCAACCAGGTATCAAACCCGGGCCCCTGCAGTGGAAGCTTGGAGTCCTAACCATTGGACGGCCAGGGAATTCTCCGTGCTCAGTTATTTTATGTATTTATTTATCAAGCACCCACACTGTGCCTACCATGTGCCAGGCACCATTTTAAGTGCTGTACATACATGAAATCTTTTTATCTTAATAACAACCTAAAAGTAAAAGGGAAAAGGGAGTGTGGGGTGGGGTTGAGGGGACCCTGAGAGGATGAAGGGAAAGGTGGGAGGGGCTGCCAAGGTGAGAACCTAGAGATGGGAGGGGCTGGGAAGGAGTCCCAGCAGGGCATGCTGGGGCACCGTGATGGGTAGCAGAGAAAGCACACTCCTACACCAGGCAAGGCAGGGTATCTGCTAAAGACTGACGCTACTGAGCATCAGCCACTGAAGTTAATGTTTTTCCCTTAAAAATCAAGTTGAGAATCAGTAGAGGTACACACACCACACTTTGCAAAATGTTGAGTCAATTCATCTCCAAAAAATATAAAAAGCTTTTGGGTAACATTTTAGGAATTTTTGAGACTTTTATGTTCCCACGACTAGTTCATAAGTAAAATATAAAACTTAAAAAAATGCACACACACTTAAAATTGCTGAATGAAAATACCAAGTGTAGAACTGCTTTATCACGTTTTGCCAGCTCCTCATGTTTCTTCCACACTTAACTTTTCAAAAGCAAATTTTCTGGAATATGTTTTGTCTTTTACATTTTCCAGTTTTTGCAGATCAGGATGCTAATAAAAATAAACAATTTGAGGAAATTCGATGAGTGTTATCATATTTGGAAATATCAGGGTTTCTAAAAATTAAAAAAAATTTCATGTTTTACTCTTAGTGATGTGACAGCACTTATGTGGAAATCCATCCATTGCATGTTAAGATGGGTCATACCTAAGTTCACCAAAATATCCAGGTACCAAAAGCAACTGAAGCACTGAAGCAAATATATTATAAAGGAATATAAAAATGGAATATTTATATATAAAAAATATAAAATATTTTTATATTTATATAAAATATAAAAATGGAATATAAAAATGAAAATGTGAGGCTTAGTAACTAAGAGCAAACACTTTAGAGTTAGACAGCATCATAGTATCACGTCCTAGTATATACTAGTGTTATATACCAACATTATAGGGTCATTGTGGGGATTAAATGAGATGTCATAAAGGATTTAAGGAATTAAATGCTAAATATATTCTAGCCACTATTATTATAGTATGAAACAGAATAAACTAAATAATAAGCTTCTTAGAAGTTGGAGGGTTTTTATATCTTTGCTTTGATGAGTTTTGAATCCTGCCACTAATTTCCATGTGGGGGGAGGTACTTGTTCATTCTTCTTAGCTTAGGGTTGACCTGTCTCGAATGGCTTTAAATCAGCAGTTTTCGAAGTATGGTTCATCAGCTCCTCAGGTCCCAAAGAGCCTTTCAGAGGGTCAAGGAAGGAAGCACTATTTTCATAATAATTGCAATGATAGTAATTCTAATTTTATTAATAAGAGTAAAACTAATTTCATAATCTCATATTTTATTTCATAATTTCATGTTAGTAGACATAATACTAATTGTCTAATACTATTTTTAGTTTTCACTGTGTTGACATTGGCATTGGTAATGCAAAAGGAATAGCGGGTAAGTAACTCTACTGATACCTTAGCATGATTCATGACAGTGGTACCAAAGCGAGTTATTCTTCACTACTATGTGCTCACAAGAAGAAGAAGAAAACTAATTTCATTGTAAAATGTGCCTGATGAAGCAGTACTTTTATTAAATCCCAATGCTTGAGTACACATCTTTTTAATATTCCATGTGATTAAATGGAAAGTACCGATAAAGCATTTCTGCTGCATACCTAAGTATGTTGTTGTCTTGAGATAAAGCCCTTGTACCATCATTTGAGTTAGGGGTTGAGCTAGTCACGTTTTTCATGGAACACCGTTTTTACTTGAATGAATGACAGACAGACTTTGGTATTCAGATTTGGGTATTTGGCAGATATTTACTCAAAAATGAATGTACAAAAAAAAAAAAAGAATGTACCACCCTTTCTGGCAGTGACAACCTCCCCAAGAGAACGTGCCTCTCGCAAAGGATCCCCTTCATCCCTCTCCAGAGAAGAGGAAACACAAGAAGAAGCACCTGGTGCAAAGCCCCAATTCCTATTACATGGATGTGAAATACCCAGGATGCTATAAAATCACAACCATCTTTAGCCATGCACAAACAGTAGTTTTTTGTGTTGGCTGCTTTACTGTCCTCTGCCAGCCTACAGGAGGAATAGTAAGGCTTACAGAAGGATGCTCCTTTAGACGGAAGCAGCACTAAAAGCATCCTGAATCAAAATGAATGGGAAACCATCCCAATAAACACATTTTGGATTTAAAAAAAAAAAAAGTCTGTCACTTCAAGGAAAACAATAGACACTATGGTTACCAATGATAAAACTGGAGCTTTCCAGTAGAGATAAGAATTTTGGAAAACTCATACACACCTCAGTGAGCTTGATAGCTTGCCAATACATAAAGACCTTTCTGATGAGATCAGTGGTTATATTAAAGAATGGTATTTTAAAATATATATAGTATAATGACATGTGACAATATTTGGAAGATCTGCATAACTCAGTGAACAAATATTTTCCCAATGACTGATACATACTTTTAAAGAATCAATCACACATGGGTAAAAGATCCATTCAAAGTGAAAGGTAGATCAGTAGATTTCCTTGATGTGGTTTTAGATTCCACCTTGCAACTAACCTTTAAGAAACTATCACTTGTCGAGTTTTGGTGTATTATCAAAGAAAAATACCTTCAACAATCAGAAAAGACTATTAAAATATTCCTCCTTTTCCCAATTGCATCTTTGTGAGACCAGATTCTCTCCATATATTTCAACCAAAACAAAACATCACCACATTGAATGGAGAGGCAGATATAAAAGTCCATTTTCTACTGTTAAGCCAAACATTAAAGAGATTTACAAAAATGAAAAACAATGCCTTTCCTCTTGCTCATTTTTTTTTGGAGGGGAATATATTTTTTTCATTAAATACATGTTAAGATTTAACAGGTTTCAGTATTTAAAATAAAAATTAAAAATTTTTGTTTTAATTTTTAATACAGTAAGTATCAATATCTAAACCTATATAAACTAAAGTTTTTTTGATATCTTTGATGATTTTTAAGAGTGTAAAGAGGTTCTGAGACCAAAAAGTATAAGAATCACTATTCTAAATTCTCCAAACTTGGGCTGGTCTCCTTTGACTATTCACAAGAAGATAGTACTTAGGGCCAAACCTGTAGTAGAAAATGATCACTTCCTAGTCAGGTTAGGCAGAGGAACATTGTGAAGAAGGATCCTCAGAAATTAGAGTTAGCATTGTAATAGTTCATCCTCACAGTAACAGGCAAGTCTAATAGAGTAGGACCATCGAGTTCAAGGAAGGCAAGAAAAAGACCTTTAGGGAAAGACAGGCTGCAAGTCTGCATCAGGAAAAATAAATAGCTGAAACAAACGACTTTGGATTAGGAATTCTGTTTGCTCTTGATATGTGTGTCCCTAATCTATTTATAGGAGTAACTTCTCCTTTCCTGATCAAAAAAGACAAAAGGGATTCTTCAGTTGGGTCTCACCATGGGCCCACAATTTCTGCTCAAGAAGGCATAATAAAAAGTGTGAGAACAATGCATTGTTGGAATGGTACCATGGTCAACTTTCAAAATTTAGCTCTAAGATTGATGTGGGAACCCCTCTATGGTGTGTCTCCTTTTCAGTCAACAAGAGAACAAAGTCAGCCCTGAGGCTCAGGAACTTTAGGATTCTGACCTTCAGCCTGAGGGTAGAAGGTGATGTATATACCTGAGTATTGTTTAGGCTCTGAATTTAATAAGGACAAAAAGCCGTGAGAAACCATTTGACTCATTTCAGCCGCTCAGTGTCCTGAAATATTCCATCTTACTGTGATGAAAAGAATCAAAATATGATCTAACTCAAAAATGGGTTGTTGTCCAAGAGGAAAGGCAATAGTGACCAATTCTAGCTTCAGATGGGATTGTTTCTGAAAATAGAAGACAGAGCATTACCAATGAGGCCAAAGCAAGAACTGACTGGAATCACCCAGTAGGTTCTTCAGTCCTTGGTTTGATCATTGCAGGAAGCTTTCCTGATAGCACCTTGGATATCGACAAAGGCCATCTTGATCACAAATTACTATTTACCTTCCTCAACACTTATATGTGAGGAAAGTAAAGAATAACGATATATATGTGAACCCTGGAGTCAGCCTGTCTGGATCTAATCCTGTATCTCTCAAGGCCTCAATTTCCTTCTCTGTAAAATGAGAAGAGTGATAGTACTGACTTTTAAGATTCTTGAGAGGATTACCTAAGATAATGCGTATAAAGCACTTAACACAAGACATGGCACATACTCAGCGCCTAATAAACGGAAGTTATCATGGAGCGTCTTTGCTTCGTATTTCCATCTGTGAGCAGTTTTTTCCGTTGTTTCTCAACATAACCCCTTTCTTTCGGGGCTGCTGATCTCTGAGTCATCTGGTCCCTTATATCCCTGAGTCATCATCATTGAGATGCTGGGTTTCTGAAGTCATCCCTTCTACTGCTCTCTAGGGCTCCCTCTCTTGACTGCTTAGCTCTCACGGGGGCTCAGACCCACAAACCGTGGCTGCGAGTCTCTGTCGGGCTTGGCCACCCGTCTTGGAGAAATGTCCTCAGTCCCCTTGGTGATCACCTAAGACTGAGACTCATTGGACCCAGAGAAACGCCCCAGCACAGAAGCGGGAGTGAGGCCGGGGGTGGGGCCGTCCCCTGAGGTGAGAACAAGGCTAGGGGCGAGGCCGCGCTCGGAGGTGCGCGCGAGGCCACACCCCGAGGTGAGCATGCTGGGGGCGGAGCCACACCTCGTGGACGTAAGGCCGGGGGCGTGGCCGCGTCGGGGAACCGCCCGGACAGTTAGGGATGCGCCAGCTGTCTCCACGGGCTGCGCGCGCAGCCGCTGCCGGGCGTGAGGCAGCGCACGGGTTAAGGCCGTCGGCGCCACCTGGGCGCCGCTGAGGAGACCCACGAGCCGGCGAATCGCAAGCAGGCGCGGCGAACAGGTGCCCGTGCGCGTCAGGCGCCGGCAAGGGGCGGGGAGAGGGGGCGCGGCCGGAAGCCCCGGGCGGGGTGCGGCCGTCCGGGTGAACTGGAGGAGCTGAGGCAGTCAGGAAGGAGCTCGCCGGGCTGCGCGGCGTGCGATGTGGAGCCGCTGCCTCGGCCCCTGCAGCAGCCGCTGTCGCCGCCGCTGCTGCTGGGGCTGCCGCCGAGCCGAGGGACATGGAGCGCGGCTGCAGAGAGCGGCCACCGGCAGCAGCAGCAGCGAGCGTCGCAGCGACAGCGGAGCGCCGCCCGCCCCGTGAGGCGCTGCCCGGCCGGCGGCGGCAGCGGGAGCAGCAGCAACAGGGTGGTTGAAAAGCCGGCGGCGGCGTTCCTACTCGCAACCGCCCCTCCCGCTTCGCCTCCCCTCAGTCTTCGCTTTCTCAGCCTTCACGTTGCCACCCTGTCCTCCTCCCCAGCGCTCGCGGAGCAGCTGAGCCCGGGAGCGGGGGAAGGGGGCGCGTGCCGCCGGCGCGGGGGAGGGGCGGGGCGGCGCGCGTCGCGCCCAGGGCTCTCGGAGACCCGGGGGGCGCGTGCCGCGGCGTGAGGAGAGGCGCGGGGCGGTGCGACGGGGCCCCTCCCCCTTGCAGCCTGGCGCGCGCCGGCCGGGCCGCACCGCTGCGGGCTGCGCGCGCGCGGGCCATGTCCGCCTTTTGCCTGGGCTTGGCTGGCCGCGCTTCAGCACCCGCCGAGCCGGACAGCGCCTGCTGCATGGAGCTGCCCGCCGCGGACGCAGTCGGGAATCCAGCCGCAGCCGCCGCCGCCGCCCTTGTTTCCTTCCCCGGGGGCCCCGGGGAGCTGGAACTGGCGTTAGAGGAGGAGCTGGCGCTGCTGGCGGCCGGGGAACTGCCGTCCGACCCCGGAGAGCATCCTCAGGCCGAGCCCGGCCCTCCAGCCGAGGGGGCCGAACTGCAGCCGCCCCCCGCCCAGGATCCCGAGCTGCTGTCGGTGATCCGGCAGAAGGAGAAGGATCTGGTCTTGGCGGCCCGACTGGGCAAAGCACTGCTCGAGAGGAACCAGGACATGAGCCGGCAGTACGAGCAGATGCACAAGGAGCTGACAGATAAGCTGGAGGTGAGGACGTCCCTCCTGGGATGGGTGGGAAGCGGGGGGTGGGGGGGAGCCCAGGCACCCGCCTGCCGGCCCTCGGTAGCTTCGGGAGCCACTCACCCACCCCACCCCATCCCACCTCTTTCTTGCTCATCCTCCCTCACAGAAAACCACCTGGAAGCGGGGTAGCATGGAGGGTTTTGGATTATCAGACGAGGGCACTCATTGAACCCACCTGGCTTTCCCACCCTACTCACAGCAAACGGGTTTATGCACGGCTCCAAACACTGTGGTCCGTTCTGTATACGTACTGTACACAGCATCTAAAATGGAGTTTACAGTATGACATTTATTTATACAGCACTGAGGTGATGTCCACACACAGAGAAATTAGAAAGTCGCGAAGCATTTAAAATATGCTCCATGTTTTCAGAGAAGTAGTTAATCGCTAATCAGGGTGTTAGCCTAAAGCGTTTCAGCTTTGGAGTTAAGGCCTCCAGATGCCCTTGTCTTAACTTCCCGGCAGCTCAGAGTTGTGGGAAACAAGTGCCCCTAAAGGAGCTTTATATAGCCTTCACATAGTTAAGGATTAGGAAGTATGGTTCCATTGCAGAAATCAGGTGAGCCTGGACTCCGCATGTGACCACTGGTTGTGGATTTGATTTGGACCTCAGTATTTATATGTATTTAAACAGTACTTTTCTGTTTCTGTTCTGGGTCTCACACATGTAATTGGTTCGCCAAATGCAACCTGTGAGAACCATACAACTTAAACCATTGTTATAAATACCCCTTAAAGTATCTGTAAGATTTCTGCCACTTCCCTGGACCAAAGTCTTTTGCAGCTATGCCTGTTTGTTTTCTTGACCTTAACTAGAAAAGGGCCTTGAAAGTGGTACAGGTTGCCACCATTTATAAAAATTAGATTTTTTTTTTTAAAGTGGGGGTAGGGGAGGTGCATCATGGCAGTGGGGATGAGGTTATCCTTTTCTGCCTGTGCATTTACTGTTGTTACCCAGTTTGGTTGCAACCAGTTCTTTTTATTATTAGTTAGAAGAGAATAGTACAGCCCTGAAAGAGGTCCATATCACTGCTGCGGGTCAGACAGTCAGAATGTAG